GTACCACTTAGCATCTAACAACAGCTAAGGAGATGTACCTCTTATATTTAAAATAACAAATCCCTACAGTAAATTGTCAATGGTTTCAAAAAAGAAAGAAAAGAAAAGGGCGGGGGGGGGGAGTAAATATAGCTGAAAATACAAGGCCTATCACATTTACTTTGTGCTCTCCTTTTTCTGTGTTTATATTCTTCTTATTTCATTGCTGAAAAAAATCCATTTCCCCATCTGAAAATTAAGGTCCTACACAGTCATCAAAGTTCAGTTCAATTGAAATTGTTTCCAAGAATACTTCTTGCATATCTCCAACCACAGTTAATTTACTTCCCTAACCCTCCACCACTAACATAGGACTTAGATTGTGCGTCTGATCAAAGCACGATGACTAAAGCATAATTTACCATGACCCACCTTAATCTGAAGACTGTGTTTATATGCATCCCCTAAACCTGATTCTGAGTACTGTATTTGATCTGCTTCCTTATCCTTCAGCATTGCTTTACCTATAATAGTTATCTATAAACATTCTCTTAAATTGAAAAAAAAAAAAGCTTACATGATTAAAACAACAGAAAGAGATTTAAATGTATGATCTCTAAATCCCTTGCAAACCTGAAATTCTATGAGATGTTCTTCCCCTCCATAACCACCCTAAGCAATGTTATATACTTGTCCAAGGGCTTAAAATTAGGAAGAAATGACCAACTGTGGCATCATATCAGAACAAAGCTCCTAACAGTCCCAAGGTTGAGACTCAGGGCACTATAGACCTGCAATGCTACATTCTAAGGCTATAATCCCCAGTATATGTGTCTACATATAGAAGGTATTCAATTGACACCAAACAATAAAGAAGAAAAGAATGAAAAAAATGATTGCTAAAGGGTCACTTCAGACATCACATGCACTAGGGTCAAATTGATTGTGATGGAAAAGCAAGCCAAATCCTTCATTTGTTTTCCAAGATTTATTTTTTTCCCATAAAATTGAGAATTGTCAAACAAGAATCCTTGGCACTAAATATGAATTTCCCTTTTGCATAGAAAAAAAAGTTTATAGCATATATCAGAAGAGTAGAGAGCCAAGCAAAACCCTAGCAGCACCTGGTTCTTCCAGATAAAGACATATAACCCTCTACTCTGAATCTCAGAGACTTATATCCTGATAGAAGACTAAAGCAAGATCAAGTAAATGAGCTAACTGGAACATTGAGAAGAAGGTCAAGACCAGGAGTCAAGTTTTCTCAAATTTAGTAAGTACTCCATCAGCAACTACAGGATCCACACTTCCTTGGGTCTCAGTTTCCCCATTTCCAAAAAAAGGGGAGAGGAACTAATTCAGTCAGCAAGTACTTGAAAGCATAGCAACTAGATGCCTGGTCAGGGTTGGACTAAATGATCTCTCAGATCCTTTAAGCTCTGAAAATCTCATAATTCTTATAGTCACACTTGGTAGACATTCTTTTGGCTCTGACCTAAAAATTTGACTGGAAACATAAACAGACATCTACATAAAAACACATTTACCAGCTATAATTTGGACTTGGCAACATGAGGTTTCACCATAGCTGAGAGGAAAAAGTACATTTTCTCCAGTGATCATACTACTTTAGAGTACATTACGGTTCATATCTAAGGGAGAAGGAAATATGGCCAGAGTAAGGCCAAGCCACTGTCATATCCAAGCCACCATTACACAAGAGAAGGACATGTCCACTTTCTTTTGAACTTGTCAACAAATTCTATATGAAGAGTCTCAAAAATAACACACTTCTCCCTACCAGATTTGTCCTTTTCCATTTGGCAAACTCTACTCTATTTTTTATCCTCCTTCCTTCTGCTTTACAGAGAACATAAGCCAACATGGCAACAGGCTTTTTGTTTATCTCCTTCCTCTTTAAAACAAAGTCATGGCTTGAGTACATTTACCAGAACAAGGTCCATATAGAAAGACTCTCTGTAACTTTATGAAAGTCCCATGTTTAATTTTTAAAAAATGGAACCATTGGCAAAGTTTTATTGTTCTTGCATACTATTTCTATATCATCAAAATATCTGTATACCATTTCCATTTAATTCAAATCCATCTGATTTCAATAATTATAAGAGACAAGTATATTTACTTTGTTTTCAATTATGAGTTAACTGGGACTTAAGCAGTGTGCATGACTTAAGATCATACAACCAAATTAACCTGTGCACCCAGTTTTCAAAGACAAGTCTTCAGTCACTAAGCCAGACAACCTTTTGAAGACTAAAGGTTTACAATGCAACAAAATAGTTTCTATAACAATCCAAGAGAGAAAATAAAAATGATTTTTAAAATTGTGCATACTAACACTATTCACAATAGTAAAAACAAAACCAGCTGTGCCACCTATTGAAATTGAACTGTATAAAAAAATGTGGTACATATACACAATGGAATATTATGCAACCCTAAAGAGGGACAAACATACGGACTTCGCAGCAACTTGGATGGACTTAGAGTCTATCATACTCAGTGATCTATCACAAGAAACAGAAAACTGAGTACCACATGTTCTCAGTCATAAGTGGACCTTGAACAATTACCATAATACTATAAGAAAGGGATCAGCAGTAGTGGAAACAGCCAGAGGAGGGTAGGTGAAATTGGCAGTAGTGGGAAACTGCCAAGGGAGGGGAGGGCACATCTCATCAACAAGGTTATCTGCACAATGAACATTTGTATACAGAACTCTGAATTGTACCCTACATCTTTAAAATAAAATATTTTTTAAAATTGTGCATATTAAAAGACATACAAAAAACCAACCTCACCAAAATCAAAGTAAAGGTATATAAAAAGCAAACACTAGGGTAGAGCCTTTAAAAATGTTTATTAAAAAAAAATGACTGGGGTGGGTGGGGCATGGAACAACACAAAAGGTAACTAGTCCCAAACTAGGGAAAGTGAGGGCCAGTTGGAGGTCCAAACTTCACTTCCTGCAGCCTATTTGTGTAGTTAGTCCTTACTTGTATGCCATATCACTATAATAAAATAAAATTTAAAAAAATAATTTTAAGTGACTAAAGACAAGGAAAATCAATCATTTTATTTTGTATTTGTCAAGGATCCTATCTCGTGCATAGAATAAACATACACCCTATAGGACTTTTATTTATTACTGGCCTCTAATCTTTAATTTCACTAGCTTATAGCAAAATAAAATGCAAGAACGTTGTGACATATATACACAAGACACAAAATATATAAAAGCCTTTAAACAATCTAAACTCCACATTGAATTAGAACTTACTTGTTATAACTGGTACCTACTAATTTCAACTGATCAATAATATAAAAAACTACTTCTATTTTTTGACATCTACTTCATGAAAATTATTCTGTAAGAAATCTATATGGTTCATTCCCTCTTCTCCTTCTTCAAGTCTTTGTTTAAGTGTCATTTTTTTCAGTGAGGTCTTATTGCTTATGCTCACCCTGGGTAAGCCCCTGTCCTCTCCCCCTAGTCCCCCCCATAGTACTTACCCATTCTAATCCTTTTTTTTTTTTTTTTGAGTTGGAGTCTCACTCTGTCACCCAGACTGGAGTGCAGTGGCCGCTCCCCACCACCGCAGCCTCGACCTGCTGGGCTCCGGCGATCCTTCCACCTCAGCCTTCCAAGTAGCTGGAACTACAGGCGCGCGCTACCACGACCAGCAAATTTTTTTGATTTATTGTAGAGATGAGGTCTCACCAAGTTGACCAGGCAGGTCTCGAACCTGCGGGCTCAGGCAATCCACTCACCTCGGCCTCCCAAAGGCACGGGATTACAGGCTGAGCCACCGAGCCTGGCTCTAATGCATTTTGAAATATGAACATTTTTTTTAACTTCCACTGGTTCCACTAACTTGTATGTTCCATGACAACAGAGCTATGTCATTCCTCTTCTCTATACTGCTTAGATAATACTCACACAAGAACACAGAATATTTGTTGAATGAAAGAATTATATCTTTCTTTATCTCAAAATTTAAGAGATAGAAAACCAAGCGGTAGATTGAATCATTTAAACAGTTATTCTCTATGGCTTTCTTATTATAGGAAACTAAACATCCACAAAGGTAGACCAAATAACGGCATTAACCTTCATGCATCCAATAGATATCAACTCACAACTAACCTTTTTTAACCTATATTCTCATTCAGTAGTTTCCTAATCTTATTATTTTGAGACAGACTCTAGGCATCATTTCATTTCATCTACGAATACTTCTGATGCTTCTCAAAAGAACAAAAAATTATTCTTTTGTTCTTCAATATATCTATACTAACATCATCACACCTAAAACTATAACAATAATTCTATGACATCATTAATTTTTCTTCCTGACATAAATGACTACTTTGCCTAAAAGGTAGCAGCTGGTCACTAGTCACCAATGATCATAGTCTGAGAACTATTCTAATGTCACTTCTAACTCCAGTCCTGAGTTATTTTGCAAGCAACAATTCCTAGAACACAGTCATTTCATACAATCTATGCATGTCTATAATGTGTACTCTTGAACTTACTCAGAAGAGAAAACCCTAGGTTTTTTTTAATGTTGCTTTTGTTGAAAAGATGTTCTTGACCAATAAGACCCACAGTGTCCCATCAGAGCCTTAAAATATCAGCCTTACTTGTTTAGAATCCACTGTTTGTGTATTGAGGGGAAAAAAGCAATAAAAAGACATGGCTGTGTGTCCCCGGGATAACAAGAAAAATGTTGACTTCTCAAACGGCATTCCTGAAAAATGGCTTTGGGTTTTGAAACAAAATTGTAGGTAAAAGGATTTCCAGGGTTTCAGAGGGTAAGCCAGCAGAACTCTGAGAAGCTTGAGTTGGGCATTTTGCATAAAAGTACCTTAGATCTTTGTAAGTTGTAAAACTCTCTGTAGGCTCTGGATAAATGTTTATCCACCACAGAAACAATCACTAAATTCATGAGCTTCCTAGCATGGCTTAAACACATGACCTCAACTGCAGCTCTTACCTGCACTTTGAAAGCACCTTCGTCAAGTGGTGGTGGAGGCGGAAAGTTTCCAGAGCCAGATGGAAGGGCACCAGGATCTTCTAGAGGTGGAGGTGGGGGTGGAAGAAAATCACCTATAGAAAGGAAGTACACACTTGAAGTTAATGGGGATGAAATGTCATAGGACTGTTTAAAAAAGATATATTTGCTGGCACTTCACTACTTTGTAATTGGCTTTGACATGTAATTTTTTGCCTTGTATAGCAATTATTCCCTTTCCTGGTTTTCTTCAGTTTAATTAGTAGCCTAAATTTTCAGAAGAAAATTTAGTAATGGCATTTAGTATTTAGTAATGGCATTAAAGCTAGTCTAGAGAGGTCAAATACATAAAAGCCTAAGCCTAAATTTTCAGAAGAAAATTTAGTAATGGCATTTAGATATTCAGCAATGGCATTAAAGCTAGTCTAGTGCCGGGCTCGGTGGCTCAGCCTGTAATCCCGCGCCTTTGGGAGGCTGAGGTGAGTGGATTGCCTGAGCCCGCGGGTTCCAGACCCGCCTGGGCAGCGAGACCTCATCTCCATAATAAATCAAAAAATCAGCTGGGCGTGGTCGCGCATGCCTGTAATTCCAGCTACCTGGAAGGCTGAGGTGGAAGGATCGCCGGAGCCCAGCAGGTCGAGGCTGCGGTGGCCGGGAGCGGCCACAGCACTCCAGTCTGGGCGACAGAGTGAGACTCCAACTCAAAAAAAAAAAAAAAAAAAAGCTAGTCTAGAGAGGTCAAATACATAGAAGCAAGAGCAGGCAATGAGCTTGGGGAGGGGGATGGGGTCACTGAATTGTATAAGACTTTTTGCTTGTCCTCAATACATTTTCCATCAAGTAGAGGAAGGAAAAATGTGTACACAAGTAAAGATAATACAAGATACAATTTATGAAGATTGCAAACAAACCTCTAGAAATTAAGATAAAGTAAAGCTTATGTCCAGGTGGAGGAACAAAGAAAGCTTACTGGACCATATAATTGTTCTAAACTATTATGATGTAGAGAGCAAGTGCACTCTAGGAGGATATAGCATAAAGGTCAGAATGTTCAGGACAGACAGAATAAAAAGTAAGTCACAACACAACAAAAACAGAAATGTAAACTAATACTAGTAGGTTCTAAAAATTAGAGAGGTGATGAAAATAAGCTTTATAAGTGTGTTGCACATCTAGCAAAGGGTTTGAATTTTATTCTGCATGCAGAAGGAATCCATCAAGGATTTCTGAGAAAGGACCACTTGGTTACAATATGATTTATTGACATAGATTAATCTGAAAGTACAGGCAGGATAGAGTAGGAGAAATTGGAAAAAAAAGACATCCAATTTAGAAACCTATATACAATCCAGGCAGGAAGTGATAAGACTTCAGGACACCAAGAAACCCCCAAATTTCTGACCAACAAGAACAACATACACCAGGCTCAGTGGCTCAGCCTGTAATTCCGTGCTTTGGGAGGCCGAGGTGAGTGGATTGCCTGAGCCCGCAGGTTCGAGACCCACCTGGGCAACTTGGCGAGACCTCATCTTTACAATAAATCAAAAAATTAGACGGGCGTGGTAGCGCACATCTGTAGTTCCAGCTACTTGGAAGGCTGAGGCAGAAGGAACGCCGGAGCCCAGCAGGTCGAGGTTGCGGTGGCCCAGAGCGGCCACTGCACTCCAGTCTGGGCGACAGAGTGAGACTCCAACTCAAAAAAAAAAAAAAAAAAAAGAACATTATACTGTAACTAGAGTTGTTGAAAGAGTACCTCTAATCTTTAAGAGCTGAGTTACAGACATATACTCAAGAACTGTATAGTTCACGGTATAGAATATTTTAAAATAGTATTTGCAAGAAATTCTATTGGGAAAATAGAAAGTTCCTTTTTTAACGTTTTCTCCATTCATCCGTTTCCTTTTAAAAATAATGTTTTTGATGTGTTTGGGAAGTGGTCTTCTCTATTTATGGATGAGTAGCTTTTCCTTGCATTTTAATTATTCAACACTTCGTGATAGGCCAGCAGTCTCCAACATTAAATGAGTTGTTTTAGGATAGTATCAAAAATCACAACTTACGTCTACAGAGAATAGACTAAGAAGGGAAGGATGGGCACAGTAGAAAAATGGTGAACTGGTTTGGTTGTTCTAATATGTTTTTGAAATTGTTCCCTTTGGCTCTATTTGCTTTATAATTTACTGTCTTAAAATTGGAAGAATAGCTAACAACTATCAAGTCTAGCCCCAAGCCAAATTCAGACTACTAAGCAGTCAAACTCACTGTCTTCTAGGATAGTCTGCTTAGTGGACTTTCACTATGTCAGGCAGTGTTCTAAGATTTTTGTAAACTGTCGTTAATTCATACAACAACCTTCTGTGCTAATGTTTCTCAATCTTAGAGATAATCAGAAGCTCTGGAAGGTCTTCTTGGTCTTTCTGCCAGAGAGGCCTGAGGAGGGGCCCAATAATCTACATTGCTAATAATTTCCCAGGTGTGAACCACCCCTCATCATGCAAAGTACCATATTACTTCTACTTTAGATCTACAGAATTAGAAAAGTTCAATAATTTATGTCATATGAAAAATGTTTGACATTTCTTTTTCTTCTGGGTTCACAAATTTGGAGACATAATGTGTCTGTATCCTTATGAGAGTTTTTAAGTCATAAACCTTTATTAACTCTATGCAGTAGTTTTCAACATTAGCTATATACTAGAGTCACCAAGGAAACCTGTCCTAAAATGCTGACGTCCAAATTCCATCTCACACCAGTTCAATCTGAATCTTAGGGATAGGAGAAAGGGAGTGATGGGGTCAGGCACCAGTACTACCTTTACAGTCCATGAGATTCTAATGTGCAGCCAGGATTAAGACATTCTCATTTGGTCTCAGATCGCATGAAAAAGGCTCTTTTCTGCCTTTAAAAGTCACAAGGTATGAAAAGAATGAGATCTTAAGTGATAATGCAAAGAAGGTTTGGGTTGTAGAAGACATGACTACTAAAGTTTAGTTCTCAGCCTAATTTTCAGGTTCAAATGTTCTACCAGGACATATGTCTTCTTCATGCCCTTTTAAAGAGAGGATTCCTAACCACCTTCTTACACTTCACCAGATTCTATTATGTCACAAGGAATTGTCAGAGCATCAGACAGTATCAGAACTAAATGAAATCCTAGAGATCCTATTATCAGAGGCTCATAAAAGCCACATCAACAGTTCAAAATGTCACAACAAGCTAGCCTCAGAATAAAAAGTGTAACCACCTGTCCCTTCCAGCTCTATCTTTCTTTATTCTGTTTCTCTAGTAGAACTTAAACACAGTGAGGCACAGGTGAATGTCAGACCTGGGAGGGTGAAAAGTAATAGAAAAGAAAAGGGAAATGTAGTCTTTAAGGAAATAATTTACAAACAACATAGAGACTGTATATTCCAGGCAAAATTATGCAAATTGTTTAAAAGCTCTCATGGCAAACACATCATAATTATCTTCTCTATTCAGATCCATTATTATATTGGACCAAAGTTTTCAGGTTTTTCAAGCTCAATCATCAAAGGCTTCTTACTACATGCTTTAGAAAGAAGTTCACATTTTCAAAAAATGTCATGGAATGGGTAAATGTCTAGAAAACAGATGCAAAAGTGATAAAGGGAGAGAAAATAGGTCCTTTGGAGGGCAACATAAACTAACTGAGATAGAATGAAAAACTCTTAATTACTATTCTAAATCAGGCTAAATGTTATTATGAGAATTCTGACTTAGAGTTAACCATTTTAAGAGTCAAGTAACCAAGGGAAAATGCTTCTAAGTTGCAGTAAAAATAAGTTCAGCTTTACAGAGAAGGCAGAATTTCCATGTTTAATAAAGATGGAAAAATGAAAAGAACAAAAATGTGTATATATGAGTGGGGTTATGTGGAAGAAGATTCTTTCAAATCCAGTAGATTACTGAAAACAATGAAACAATAGAGCATGGCGTTTAGGTGCTTAGGTGATGACCCTTCTGGAGAAAACACCTGGGCAAAATGAACTGTGGTGCCTTCCTGCTAGCAATGCTAAGCTGCAAATCTTCATGTTAGTGCATATCCTGTCCTCTCTGCCTTGCTAGGGAAATCCCAACTCAACTCCCAGACTTTGTCATCTACAGGGGCATTGAGTAAGTCAAACTGGCAAGCCAAGACAAGCCAAGGTACAAAACAAACAAACCAACCAACAAAAAAACCACCATCAGGCAACAGGCAGTAATATACCAAGTCTAGGATAAAAAATATTCAGGTTTAGAAGAAGTTGAGTAGTTACAGACAGATGCCTACAAATCTGGTTTACTACACACCCCTTCCATCATCATCCAAATCCTATCTACATACAAAATATTTTATGCCTCAATTTTGATTTAAAAATTATTTATTCAAAGTTATGTGGCTAGTGAAATGCAGAGCTAGATAGAAATGGATCCTCACTCTGCCTTGGAAAAAGACTAAGAAGGATCTTGCTTGATTGGCTCAAGTCAACCCACATCATTCAGCTAATATGCAATCGTTTTTTGATTTGTATTAGAGTATCAATATGAGGTAGTTAAAAGGTAAGTTGGGAAAATCAAATATTGTGTCCCTGATGCCCAAACACTGCTTGCTGCCAATTTATTTCAGAAAATATCCTGTTGAGCACATTGTTACCTCCAGAAGGGAGTAAGGAAAAACTCCAGAGAACCCAGACACACATATTTTCTCCAGCTTTCCTTTCTAGTCTGGAGCTTAAAATGTTGTGGCATTAAGAACATAGGTATGGTTGGGCACGGTGGCTCAGCCTGTAATCCCAGCACTTTGGGAGGTAGAGGCAAGAGGAATGCCTGAGCCGGGGGCTGAAGACCAGCCTAGGCAACTTGATGAGACATCATCTCTACAATAAATCACAAAAACTAGCCAGGCATGGTGTGTGTCTGTAGTTCCAACTACTTGGAAGGCTGAGGTGAAAGGATCACTTAAGCCCAGCAGGTTGAGGCTGTGGTGGCCGTGAGCATGTCACTGTACTCCAGCCTGGGAGACTGGCAGATAAGAGTGAGACCCCAACTCAAAAAACTAAAAAAAAAAAAAAGAAAGTAGATGTGATAATGGGG